GCGGACATATCTGTTTACATTTGAAACAGCAGAATTGTAGATTTGTTCCCAATCTAGAGAGACTAAGCTTCGCAACAACAAATATAACGCCTTCATTTATATTGCGAATTAAATCATGCTAATCCTTTCTGGAATTTTTTCGAGGAAATAGTGTTTAGATTTACTTCATAATTTTTAATACATATATTTTGAGTTTTTTATGCTTTTACCTTTTGCGAAGTGAGAACTGAATAATTGAAGAAATACTGAATTGTCTGTGAAAACTGTTTCTTTCTGTTTTGTTTGCTTAATTTCTTTCATACATTGTTCTAGCTTTATTACAGTATTTGAATAGAACATGTGGCAACGATAAGATAATTCTTCAAATGAAATAAATTTTGTGCATTCAGAGTGTCGTTATAGCGAAACAGAGGAAGACAGCAGTAAAACCCAGATGAAACCTCTCTACAGTGATAGAGTAAGGAAAAAATTGGAAAACCCACCCACAGAGTACAAAGATATAAACTGGATCCAAGATCCTAAAATCAAAAAATTTCTGAACAGTATGTTTTGAGCCACGTTGAGAAGATCCGCGCTGCAAAAACCACGGCTGAGAAGTTTACTGCCGGGTTCAAAGCAGCCATGACACTGATGAGATTTGCTGAAAGTGAAGAGTAATCACCAGCTTAGAAGCATTTGAGGAATTTCACTATGTTTACGATTTCTTTTTACTTTTTCAACACGCAGGTTTCCCTATTTACAGCAGCAGAGCTCGGGGTCAGTACTTGGGTGGGTGACCACCCATGTGACTGGCCTCGACGTATCATCTTTCTTCAACTACTGAAGATACATCACAGCCATGATGATCACAGCTTGTACGGCGGCCAGATGCTTGAACCCTCCTTCTCCAAAGTCTACTTGACCAACTCACGTGCATTAGCACATGTTCCTGCTTTACCTTTGTCGGTGCGGTGTAAATCACCTTAATTTTTAATTCTTCCCAACGCCTTAGGGCATATCTCCAACAGAGACGGTTAAAGTAGCAGAGGCTACTAAGTGCCGCCTAACCATTCACTCGATTTCGATTTCGTGTCGTTATAGTAAACAAATATAGTGAATTTTAAGGAGTGCATTTATTCTATTGTGGTTTATGTGCTGTCGACGAAGTAGATTTAATTCAATCCAATCAATTTAAATGAAATTCAAGAAAAAAAATGCGTATAATTTAATATTTCGTACTAGGAAGTCATGTGGTGTCCACATCGGATTTTTTTAAATAACGAAATGTAACTTTTTATACTATTCCCCGAATGCGTAAGTTATGTTTAGTAAAAACGTATTTTCATCAGGCAAAATAAAACACAAAACGATTGTCACCCATACGACATAAATTGGCAGAGCTTTAAAATTCAAAATTTTTGCCTTTTGTTTCGAATTTTTTGGGGAGTAGGTTAAGAAGTAGATTCAAATAATTCAAGGTTAATTTTTCGTCTTTAATGTCATCCAATGCTATTTCGTTGGAATTGACTACCGTGTTCAGCTTAATTTATAAAGCTGTTAAATTTGGTACGCCGAAAGCAATTTCATACGAATAATTTATAAGTATTTAAATGCTAGAAATGCATCAATAATATTCATATGTAGTTCCATTATTTTAAGATTATAATCTAAAAGCCAAACAAAAATTATTGAACTAGAAATCTTCCTCTCTTTTGATTTATGGAAATAATGTTACGAATTTGAATATCTAGCTAATGATGGAACCTGCTATTATTTTCTAAAATACCAGTTCTATAAAATTATGCAATTAATATCACATTTTATGAAAATCTGTATAGCTGTGCTTGTCGCTTCATTTGTTAGCATCAAAAATCTTAATTTAAATTGATATTTACTTTTTAATTAAATAAAAATTTCTTCATTTCACTATTCTTTTTATGTATGAGGAATACGATTCCAAATTTTAAAATAAAACACCCGGATCAAATTTTTGTCATATGGGACTCAAATAGTTATATTTACTTTTTTAGAATGTGTGTAAGTTTTTACTAAGTGCAGTTGTAGAAATCGGGTTTAAATAAAAAGCTAAATTTCGTAATTTTTACAAAACTTATTTTTGAAATTTAAACATGTCACAAATATATTATATATATATATATATACTATATACTATATACATAAAGCAGCTTGGCGGCTGGAAATACGTCTACCGTTGCATTGCGAAAATAAAGATCGCATGAGGACTTTTATGGTCCGCTGTGTACATATGGTACACAAGATGATGAAGAAAGACAGTTTTAACAAAACTGCCAAAAGTTATTTTAATTCTGAAAATTTTAATTTTAATTTAAAGTTGGCATTTCATTCGCACCGGCTGCGAAAGATTTTGAATAACTCAGTAAACCGTTTCTAAAGCTTATGCTACGAATTTAGAGTTGAATATTTTTTATATTCTGTTAACAATACGTATTCAGAATCATTTTTCATTTCTTTCTCGCTTGCTGTGGTCTTTACTGTTTGACAATGCTAAGCAAGAGCGTCATTTTCGTCATAACAAATGACAGATATTGTTTAAATTAACAGACATTTGAGACACGGCGCTTACGTGTTTTCGCAGTCGTTAGACGTAGTTATAAACTTTGAGCTAGAAAAATGTTTTACATAATATAAATATTCACGCTATGCTATTTTGTTTTGTAAAAATTACTAAATTTAACTTTTTGGGATCTTTTAGTTTATCTCCTAAAAATTTATAAATATTCTAAAATTCCAAAATAATAAAAATAATGAAAATAAAAATTAAAAAAAATGAAAGGAAGTTGAAAAACTCTTAAATAGATAAATATATAATATAATTATAAATAATATAAATTGAAAAAAAATTTCAAGTCTGAAAGAGTTCAGATTTTAACTTTTAACGGTCCCCGAAAGGATTAAAATTTTATACATAGTTTATCGGCAGAGATTATCAATAGAGAAGGTCCAGATAGAATAGCGAAACATTTTATAGGATAATAAATGAATGCACATTTAGACTAACATTGTTGTATATGTTCTGTATATTTGAAAAAAGAAAAAAAAAAAAAAAAAAAAAAACAGGCAACTTAGTTCTATAAAAATATTGAATGTTTTTAATCAGTTATATCATGAATTAAAAACCTTTTCATTTAACTGAATCAAATTCAAAAGTACAAAATAGTATTATTTAGAACTGCATCTATTGCTATTAAATAGCTTAATTAATGAAACCCAATTTATTCATCGGTAACAGACAGATTAAATTTGAAAGATCTAGATAGCAGACAAATTAAATCTTGCATTTGCAATGTATCTTTCTTACGTTTGAAAGGTAAATATCTTCCATTTATACTCATTTTGCCGAATGACAGTACACTCGAATGAAAAGTGAAACACCGCGTTTCGAGACAAATAGCCCTTTTGGGAAGAAAAAAAAAAAAAAATACACGAAACGTTTGACTTCCATATGACAAAAATTGGCCAAGATATTTAATTTCAAAGTTTGAGATTCGGTTAAAACATAAATAATACCATTTAGTAACATTTCTTTGTGATTTACTAGTGTGTAAACATGATTAAAATTTTGTTATATTTGGCACGATGAAAGCATTTTCAAGGAAATAATTTACAAAGCCAAATATAGTTTAACACACACACGCACGTGCTGTTTTAATAGTTTTAGAATCCTGTTCTATGATAGGAAAAGAAATTCATTGGAATAGAAATAGTTTTCATTTTTAATTCATGCAAACTATGTTTCGAATTGATTGTGTACCAGGGCTTAAAGCCTGTTACTGTTTTCTAAAACACGAATTCTATAAGATACTGTAAATGAGATCTCTATTTGGAACCAAATTTGTATTGCTCAAAACTTTCAGCGACAGTCTTCGCATCAATGATTCTCACTATCTATAACTATCGGAAATCTTTTCCTAAACTAAATTTTTAGTTATATACAAATTCAAATATTTCGCTCTCCCTGAATTTCGAAGGAAGATTATCTTAAACTTTAAAATGAAATATCTCGGTAAATTTGTGCCGTATGAGAGCCAAACCTTTTTTAAAGTATAAGATGAAAGTTTACGAAATAATTATTATAGGGCTGGGATTATGTAAAATATTAGATTTCGTAATTTTTGCAAAACTGATTTTTTAACTTTGAAAATTTCAAAAATGAATATTTATGTTATTTAAAAATTTATTTGTGAAAATTTAGATCTACTACACATTGCATTTTTATTGCACGCAATAAAAGCAAAACGTTCATGTGAAAGAGATAAAACAATGTGAATAATATTAACATGTGTTTCATTGTACCCAGCATACTTACTTTGCTAATCATTTGTCTTTTGATTATTTTGTATTACTAAAGTAAACACTACAAAAGTGTTCGATTTATAAAGCAACAATGTATTAAAAATTCTTCTTTGTATCGAAGTATGTACATCTTCTCTTTAAGATAAAAATTTAAGTTTAAAGTTTTACATTATAAGGTATTTCTCACACCATCCTAGAGTGCCTTCGTGGTGTAGTGGCTCTGCACGTTGGAACGGTATTCAAGAGGTCCGCGGTTCGATTTCCTGCGAAGGCGTTGTTAATTTTTCATTTTTCCTGCTACCAAAAAAATCCTAACATCTCTACAGTGGCGCCCCAACTAAAAGGGTATTGGATGAGGATTCTCCATACCCAGGATTTGGCGATTGGGTCCCCTAAAAACTCCAGTCGCCCTTTAAAAGGGGGAGTATATAAGGTATTTCTCCCTCTTTCCTAGCGTGCCTTCGTGGTGTAGTGGTTCTGCACACAAGCCCGGTATTCCAGAGGGCCGTGGTTCGATTCCTGGTGAAGGTGGTTGCTAATTTTTCATCTATCCGGCTTTTCCAAAATACCTAATGTCTCTACAACGTATGCTGCAAAAATGTGCGTTTTTAACGAATTATGATTAAATTTTCTAATGCATATTTCAGAATTCTTTTCTTTTCGCTATTAATTTTTTCTTGTTTTAGGAGGAGCAGCGAAATTCTCGCGACATCCCAGATACGTTGCTATGTTTATAAAGTTCAACAATACACTTCCGGCTTTGAATACTGAGCAGCAATGAACACTCAAGGCAATATCCTGGACATTTCTTCGGAGGTAAGGTCATCACATGATATTTGAAGCGTTTTTGCGCGAATGCTTTGGGGAAAAAAATATGATTTCTTAGACAAGGGTAAAAAAGGATATCAAGAGCTATGCAAATGTCAGCTAGTACAACTTAAATCGATATTTTACGTTATATTTATCCTACTGTTTTCCCTAATGTAAATGTAGTAATCTACAGTCTTTAACGTTACAACGCGTAAAAATATAGTTATTTATAGCAGTAAAAACTAAGAATGTTTCATAAAGATTTTGCTTATCTGTACTAACATGCAAACAGAAATTTTACTACATGCTTATTAGTTACTGCTGTAAACACAAATAATTAGTAATTTAAAATGACATTTGAATAAATGTCATTTTATTTAACAAATTTATTTAACATATTTTTTATTTAACACATTTTGAATAAATGCGTATATTTCAAGAACTTAAAATCACAGTTAGGATTTACATCTTAAAACATAACAGGTAATTACTGTACTTCGTAAACTGGTAACAGCTTAATAGACAAGTTGTGAAGTTTGTTACATAATTAATCCAATTTTTCGTATTAAATCTATTCTACACCTTTACTGTTTCGTTTACTCCACCAAAATATGTATGTGTGTGTGTGTGTGTGTGTGTGATTACGGCAAAGCCTCGAGGGCTATCTGCCTAAGGGGAGGGGGAGGGATACCTTCGTGGAGGACTTTCTAAGGGAAACTGGCTCGTATACACGTTACACATGGGGAAAACCACGAAAACGCCCATGCAGCCAGCCCGTTTGCGGGATTCGAACCTCGGACCGAACTACCAGTGTTCAGCGACTTTACCGCTCGGCCGCTGGTGGGCCGCCACCAAAATATGTAAATAAAGATCGAAGATCCATGTTTATGAAAGGAAGTTGGTAACTCCAGCTTGCCTTGGTGAACTCCTTCCTCTATAGTGTCTGCCTTTAGAGTTGTTGCACGAGCAGGTGAGTATCTTTGATTGAAATTAAGTTTGTAATCATGGAATAGTTCAGCCAGGTTGTTAGATTTTGAATATGTAAATAATATGAATCATTGTTGTCTTGCCAGCTTAAAGAAGTGGGATTTAATTTTGCTAATGGTTTTAGTTTCTGTAATCGCAAGCGTAATTGCTGGTAAATCTTTCAATTGTTTACCTTGTAATTACTCAGTGTTCTGAGACTGAAAGGTACGGATGGGTCAATAATTCGTCCAGCAGTCTGAAAAGAAAATATTTTCAGACTGCTGGACATATGTCATTTGTTATTTGTTATATGTCATTTGTTAAATAAAATGACATTTATTCAAATGTCATTTTAAATTACTAATTATTTTAAACTGTGATAAATTAAGTTTGATGTCATAAAGTTTCTTATAAATATTTACTAAGAAACTTGGAACTGAAGATTGAAGAGATGCTTAAATTATCTCTCATATTATTTTAATCTCTTATTAAGAAGTAATTACTTATATGCAAATAACTTAATTACTTAAATGCAAAATAACTTACACACAGGACATAAATTAATAGCAGTTACTATCGCACAGGTTTAATAATATTATAATCAATCTTGCTACTGGTGCTAAATCGATCTATTCTCGCCACTGATTTTAAAGACTTTTATGACACGTATACATATTTCTAAGCTCAGTGAGCTGAAGATTAAAAAACAGAAACAGATATTAAAGCTAAATCTTAATATAACAAAATAAAGAAAGCTTATGGATCAATTAATTTTAGATCAAAAAATGCCTAAAAGATGACTTTAGTTATGTCATGCAGGTAATCTTATCGTTAAAATGTTAGTATAATTTATATTATTTTAATTTGGAATTTTTCATAAGAGTCTTTATACAGTCTTTTTTTTTTTTTTTTTTTTTTTTTGTTGTTGTTGTTAATCATAGATATACTGTTGATCATAGATATATACTTCAAGTTACAAAAAGTTGCATATATTCATATTTTGACATTTAAGTTTAAAAATTAAGTTGGAAGACAAATACGCCAATGCAAGATTTAAAATTAAGCAAAAGTTCAAACTTAGCTTGGCATACATGTGGAATCTTACGATTTTGGTTGATGTGACCACAAAGAACAAAATGTATGCTTAAAATTTTGTTTTCTTTTGAAGTAACTGCAGATGAAAGCGTTGTTATGTCTGGTAAAGTTTAAAAGATGATGCTGGGAGTAAATTACAATTATATGAGTGGTTGTCCAACTTATAAAATGGCGAAATATCGAATGAAACTGCATAAATGAGAAAACATTGAAAAAATGAAATATATTAATTAAAATCATTGAAAGATCACTGAGAAAATATTTGAAGAAATTCTCTCTGTCGGACACTTCTTAGTGAAGAATATTATACTGCATGTGTCTCAGCTACGTCAGTCATCAAATCTTCATGCTCATTGTTGCTTTTTTCTATTTTTGTAGATAAAGAAAGCTCTCAAAAAGTAATTTAGGAGACAAAAAAAAAAAAAAAAAAAAAAAAAAAAAAAAAAAGCAATTGAATGATGTGCGTAAGATACAAGAAACAAGTTGCGTGCCTCGAATACTATTCCATACGAATAACTCCAGAAATGTTTTCATGTTCACCGCAGTGAGCAAAATATAGTTAAATGTATATCAGTGCTGGTAGAGGACCTTGTATGAAACTAAAAACAAATGTTAAAGTGTGAAGTATAACAAAATTACTTAAAAATAAATCTGGTTATTTTTAGCAATATCCCTCACATGTTGTTCTCGTTTTCAGTCTCCAAAAGTTATTTGTATTTTCTTTCGAATAAACCAATCCTTTGTTTACCTGATCTAAGCTTTGTTGTTAGGTACCATTGAAACCGATCAATTGGAAATGTTATTATGATCGACATATAGTGGCTCAATCGAACAACTTTGTAGCTAAATGTATATTCTGAGCACGCACTCTCGTAGTGACTTGTTAAGTGCATATTCCTGAACAAATTCGTACTTTATAACTCCAAAAGTTCCAGATTCAAATATAAGTTTTTGCACGTCATATCTTGCATTCGGTGAAACAATATTTCATTTTCTGAAATCTATCTGTAAATAAACTATAAAATCTATAAATCTTTTTGTTTAATATATTTTTACAATTAATTGTTGCATAGACTGAAAGTCTTAATTTTAAATAAATGATGGTAATCCCTTAATAACTCTGTTTCTTTGTTTTTAGTTTAAATTCTTTTATTATAACATTATTTTGAATCAATAATGAAGCCGTCCATAAATTTTAAAGGGGACATTTTCTCTTTTGTGTAATTTAACTAAGCAGTACAGTCATATTTTCCCTAAAACTTCCAGAAATATAATTATTTCCTACACTGTCAGCTAATAAAATACTTTCTTAGAACTGTGATAAAAATTTTCACCAATATAGCTTCTTTAAATAAAGAATTCTGTTCAGAATGTTAGTCTAATGTTTATTTTAAACGATTCGTTTTTCAGTTGAAGATTCTGCATTCATCTTCGTTTGAATTCATTTTCAAATTTTTGCAAGTTTTATTAGCCGTAAAGTTTTTGTAATAATTTAAAAGATTTTTTTTCAGCTGGGTTCAGGGAATGATCCAATAAGGTTACGAAAAGACCTTTTAGCATTTTATTCCTGAAGAAAGTTATAAAATATTGAAATGATTTTAACAAAGATCTTTACACGCAGAAGATTTTGCACACTTGAGAAGCTGACTGTTAATTTGAGATGCAAATATATTCGAGAAAAAAAATCCTTGCCTAGATTTTAGTGGGAAAACAAGAAATGTTTGAGCTGTTCCGTGGTTTTAAATCAAAAGCTACTACGTTCGCATAAAATATCAGAACAACATTTAAGCCTATTAACCTTTAACTGGCAAATACCTTTCTGTCGCTGTGGGTCTTCATGGAAATAAACATGATTTAACTGCAAATTTAAGTAGATTGATTCTTAGTGTGACATTTTTATAAAATTGTTATAGTCCTTAAAATATGAAAACTATAATTAAATTTCTGTCGTTGTGTTATGTACAATATTCATTCAATTAGCGAATATTTATTTTAATCCTTTATAATGGAGTAGAGATTACGAAATTCCGTTTTAAGTGTTATTAAGGAAAATTATTTCATTTATGCCATTTGTCAAAATCGTAGTCTAGTCTATGCCATTTGTATTATGACTACATGTTTCTTTTGCATATTTTAAGGCTTTAGATTTTATTAAGATCAATTTAATCATAACGTCAAGTTTCGGATTGCATTTTTTTATTTAATTTTTAAATTTCAAAACTGAAATTCAGTTATGCAAAGTAACCTTTACTTTAAAGTTCTAAACTGGTGCTAAGTCCTCAAGAATAGGCCATATTTTTCGAAGAAAGAAGAATTTTTTTACCATATTTACGTTGTTTTATGAAGAAAACAGGGAAACATTATTTTTGTAATGATTTAAGTCCATTTAAAACAAAGAATAGCAATCAGTGCCAGTTACTTTATTCCTTTTCCCAACTGAAATTCGATAGACCAAAATTTCTAATAATATCTTTAAAAGTACCTGCACAATTCTGAAAACCGCACATTCTGCTTCTGCATATTCATATTCTAAAAAATCTGCTACAATTCTCTGATTGACTGACCTACATGCATTATTAAGGTGTCGGATAGATTACTTACAATAATTATTTTTCGCTATATTATTCATGTAAAATAGTAAAAGTATTTCGAATCCATGAGCTAATCTTTAAAATAATGAAGAAGATTCTACTAATAAATAATGAAGAAGATTATAAATGCTGCAGTAAAACTCGATAAAGAATACATAGTGAGAACATATGAAGTACTCAATTAAGTGTAAGAGCAACGTAATTTATAAAGAAATCCTAAATATTACGAATATGTAATAATTAAATATTCAATTTCATAATCTCTTACCTCTTAAGAGGTTTTCATAACCTCTTAAGTTATAACGTCTCGTATTCTAAGCAAGCATAAACTAACTAAACCTTAAAATAGCGTTT